CCTTGGTTTCTTCAAGTATAAAGTCAATACATAACACATCTCTCTGAAATGTATTGTTCTGTGAAGATTAGATGAAACAATACAGTGTGGATTAGCCATGAGGCAAGTGAAATTTCGTGCAAATATAGATGTACTATTACGACTGCTGCTATGACTGCTACTCAAAGGCCATTCAAAGGCACAGGGTGCCAGGCTCAGGTGTATCGTGGTGGTTAAAGAACATGGTTAGCATGCTGTGTTAGGCCCATAGTTCAATCCCCAGTATAAAAAAAAATTTTTTTAAAAGCATGGACATCAATTCTGGGCTGGAACTTGTTGCCTGTACAGCTTTGGGTAGGAACAGAAGCATCATCAACTGGCTTGTTTCCATAGAACATGTAGAATAGATAGATTAACAGTAATGAAATTATAATAGACCTGCATAAATGAGAAGTTGCAATAATTATGCTAATATGACCAAGTGGATTTTATAATGGAGCAAGCTAACAAAATGATGTGAGATTTAATTGTATCAAGTATCAGCTTTAGAGTCACATTGCCAAGTGTGGATGCCAACTCTGCCAAACACTGAGCAAGTTCCTTAACTTCTGGGCAGCCATCCTCCAAAATGGTTCAACAATATCCCCTCCTGGTACTTATGCCCCTGTGTAGTGCCCTCTGCATTGTATCAGGGTTGATCTATGCCACCAACACCAGGCAACAGTGTGATGCTAACAGCACTATTTCTGAGGCTAAGTTATAAATGGCACCCTGGCTTCCTGTTTAGTTCCTCTCTTGGATCCTTCATTCTAAGAGAAGGCAACTGTCTTACTACTCCAAGAGGTCTGTGTGGTGGGGAACAGAGGCCTCTAGCAAAACACCCTTGTGAGTGAGCTTGGATGGGATCCTCCAGCTCCAGTCAGGCTTTCATATGACATCTTATGGCAACCTCATGAGAGATCCTGAGCCAGAATTCCAAGCCAGGCCACACCCAAATTCCTGATCTGCAGAGACTGTGACATACCAAATATTGTTTTAGGCTTTGTTATGCAGTGATCTGTAACAACCTCCTCTCAAAGTTTCTATAAACCTCTGTACAAATGGAGATGATTATAGCACATCTCTCAAAAAAGTTGTTTTAAAAATTAAGTGAGAAATATATTGACAGCCCTTAGCCCAATGCATGTGCCAGTAAACACATATTATTGCATGTTTGGATGCCTTCTTCCCCAAGTGCAAGCTGCTCCTACAAGTTATTTACAGTCACTGTCCCCCAGGGCTTCAGCACTTTAAGTCATCAAATTAAAGTACGTTGAGAAAACTCCAGTCAGTCCTTTTATGTTGTCTTTCTCTAACCAGTACTGGGCAAACAATCTTCTCTTTCTCTGGCTCCCCTTTGAGAGAACATGCAAAGATTTCTAAGACAGAGACAGTTAAGGCACATGCTACAGCTAGGGAATTAAAAGCCAAAATTGCTGCCTGAAAAAGACTAATCACTGAAGACAGGAACACTCACAAAGGTTGACAATAGTTAACTGAGCTAGCTGGAATCAACTTGAGCTTTTACAGAGCACGCCATTTAGAAATTGTCCTCTGACATATACAAAGCTTTCATTCAGACTTATTTCTCTGCTTTTCAACTGGGAATCGATCCTGGACTTTCTCAGGCAAACTTCATAGATGTTATCTTTTCTCTCTTGGGTTATTCTTGTCTCCTCACTTTTGGGTTTTCTTTTATTACTGATGGGTGGGTGAGCAGTCAAATTTCCTACAAACTGAAAGAAGGTATTGAGGAAATTTACTGGTAAAGCAGAGAAAAGAACAAAAAAAGAAAAGAAATACTTCTATTCCTTAATAAAACTCAACAATAAAACTATTTGACAACCAAATATTTCAAACTGCAGCATATAGTACAAGGTCAAAAGGGAAGTAAAGGAATTGCAAATAGCAAGGTTTTATTATCACTAGACCATAAGGATTTCTTTAATTTTGTACAAGTGAAACCTTTTTATACATTTTACTACTGATTCTTTGGTAAGCTGAATATTTAAGTATGCATTATCTTTCTATAATAAGATAAGTGAAAATTTTTAAACAAAATACAATCTTTTTATGTATTCAGAAGGGGGCAAATTTTTAATTTTGCTTAGAGAAATGCAAGAAATTTTTATGCTCACTTCTGATCTCAAAAAATTTTTATTCAAAAAAAATAGGACAATAGTATTAAGCCTCTTCCCCACCCCCATATTCTCTCCTGTTCCACTATGTCTAGTTCTGCTAAAGTTAGCGTTTCATATGGAAACACTTGACCTTCTCTTAAAAGAACCTCTCAGGGGGAGAACTTGGGTTTTCTCCTTTATTTAGCTGTTTAGTTCCTTTCAGCTGTTTAGTTCTTTGTGTTTCACATAATCTGGGTCTTTGTTTTATTTTTCTATCAAATCTCCCTTTCCCCTTCTTCTCTCCCTCTCTTCCTTTCTTCCTCCTTTTATCCCTTTCTTCTCTTTATATTTCCTCTCTTCTCACTCCCTTCCTTTCCTTGTCTGCACTTGTTTGATGTTAAACCTTAGTGGAAAATATGGAGGGAATCTCTTGGGAGGGATGTCTGGATTCTTTTTTATTTTTCTTTCTTTCTTTTGATGGTAGCGGGCTTTGAACACAGGGGCCTCACACTTGGGCTAGGCAATTGCTCTACCACTTGAGCCACACCTCCAGTCCTAAAGGATGACTGAAATCTTCAAAAGAATCATTAACTGTGGCATAGCTCTGTGGAGGATTTAATGAAAACACTGCACTCCTAAGCTTTCATTATTTTGCTGTCCATTATGATAAGGCAGAAATTGAGAAATTGAAACAAAATGACTTCCTTTTTCTATCTAAACATATCTACATGGAAAGTCAGAAATACCAGAAAGAGATAAGTTTAGATAAGCCACCACGAAAGCACATCTCCCCTCAGTTGCCAGAGACATCCTTAGCCGCCCTCCCCCTTACCTCTTATGTTTGACCAGTTACAGAAAATGTCTAGTCATTCATGTTTTTGAGTGCCTGATAGCCTCCAAACTGTGATCTGCACTGTAAGTGTCCTGAGCTGTTTTCCTTTCTTCCCCTTCCAGTCTGGACCAATTTTGTTCCACCTTCCCATTGTCACCCCCAACAGTCCTGCCATGCTCAGAACTCTCCAGTACCTCTGCATCATATACATGTTAAAATCCAACTCCTTCTCCTGATACCCATCCTCCTCCCTGGCCCCAGAGTTGCTCCTTTTAGAATTCCAGAATATAGGATATGAACTTTTGTCTCTGTTGTCACACAAGCCATTCGTGCTTTCTGACTATTCAAGCTTCTCCACCAAACAAACCTCTTGTGAGAAGTCTTCCATGGCTTTCCCAGGAGAGCTTCTTGTAGTCCCCGGGGCCCTTTGCTCAAACCTCTCTAATTTGAATCTTAAGAGTAGGTAAATAAAGACATATGACTCAGGAATTCTCCTCAAGAGAACATTCTTGAAATTTATTTGGAGAAGAAGCTGGTGCTGTTTAGGGGAAAGAACAAAAGAGCCCCTTCCCATTCTGAATACCCTCCCAATAAAAGAAAAGTCCTTATAACTAACTGGAGCAAGCCCTATGGAAGGCAAGTTCATTAAGCAGAAGACCCCTAAGTCCCTAAGAGCTTCAATGCGGGTCTTCAGGGGTTTATCAGTCTCCCATTCCTTCTAGCTTCCCTTAAGGGAAGTTCAGGTGATTGCAGTCTTACCCTAGCCTTCCCATCATGCTGCAATGCTTCAGTGATGTTTTGGAAATAAACAGACTATCCAGGTTACTTTGGTGTAAAGACACACACACGCACACACACGTTACATGTACTGTGTTACATACATATACATATATATTACAAATTGTATTTGCATATTTCCACCAAACTACAAACTTTTTGAGGTCAGAGACCTTTATATTTATAAAATTTGACCTTTTTACTTACAGTAGCTAGCACAGTTCCTGGAACATAATGTAAGCCCCATAAATATTTATTGATTATATGAATGTTCCATCTTTTTCTCACATGGTTTTGTGTGTGTTGTTTAAATATACACATGTATCACTTTATGAAAATAGTTACAATTTAACAGTTTATAAGGCAGAGTCAAACAAATGGACTGCCATTTAGTAGCTTAAAATGGTAGCAACTAATGGTTTCTCTAACTAAATGCCTTTGGCAGTAGGTCATCCTATTCAGTTATCTAATCTTTGGTACTTTTGGCACCTTTGCCCCATCAGCCCTACATACTAATTCTAAATTGTTGCCTTGAATCTGGATAAGATTCCCTGAGGATGCGGGCACTGGCTACATTTCCTGGTTTACTAATCCATCCAGAGAGATTGCTTCAGTTGACTGACTAATTTAGAGTACGTGTAATATTGAAATGAAAGTAAGTGTTTGAAAAGAAGAAGGAAGAGAGGGACCCAAGCTAGTTATCCCATTTCCTTGTATCAAATGATGTGTATCCCATTGTCTAATATTTCATATTAAAAGCTAGGGCTAAAAAGATAGATGCAGGTGACTTTAAATGAAATAATCCACTAAAAAAATTCTTTCTCAAAATTGTGTTTTGGGGACTTTCTTTCTCATTTTTTTCTCTTTCCTCTTAAGACATTCTTATTGCTGTGCTTGGAATCTTTAAACCCTGTTTTCTTTCCTTTGGAGATCAAAACCACAACTGTAAGAAAGATAAATTTAAATTGAAGTTTTAAAAATTAATCTAAATAAAAAGAAATCCTGACTCTCTCCTATGTATTTGTCATACATAACAAAACGTGGCAGCTGCTCACATCCTAAACCTCAGAGACCTGAGAAGCGAGTCAACTTGCCTCACTAGAAGCTGCAATAATCCCGTGGAAGCCTTCTCAGCTGCCCCCTGGTACACTGATCCAAGTCCCCAGCAACATTCCTTGCTTCTCTTAGTGTGGAAAGACAGCACCTCGCCCCATCTCCAACTACCTTATCTTTTTCAAATGTTTCAAACTTACTACCTTTGTTCAGCAGAACCACAGGCACGGTGATGATGGTGACAAGCGCAGCAGCACCCAGCAGTCCCAGGAGAACCTTCCACGGTGTCTGCAAGCCGGTCAGATCATGTCCAATTAGAGGGAAGCCCTTGGCTCTGGTCTGGGTAATAGGGTGGGGGCGCGGGCTGCTCCGGAAGCAGCCGGGTTTGCAGGTGGGCAAGCGTTAAGAGCGAGGCCTCCGGCTGGAAGGGTATGAAGTTCGCTAAGGCGGACGTCCTGGAATTTGTGGCCTCTGAGCACGTTAAGTGTTTTGTTTCTCCACTCCTACCCTTCTGATACCAAGTGGCGGTTCCAGCCCTGATTTCATGGGTGGCTCTCCCGGACCTCCAGGGCTCGGCGCCTGGGTCCCAGCAAGAAACCCCGCAGATGTGACAGTGAAGCCAAAACTGTGGGATGTCCCTTCACCTGTTAAACTGGCTCTGGGACTTCCGCCTACTAATAGTCCCGGCCCCTTTCTGCGAAAATATGGGCAGTTTGGGAAAAGTTTGCCCAAGAGGCACCGACATCTCGACCCTGGGACTAGGGACGTGCGAGGCGAGCTGGACACTCACCTTCATCGCGGGCGCCTCCTCTGAACTAAGCGTTCGGTGCCGGAGCCCAGGCAGCAGTCAACGCCACCCGACAGGGACGTCTTGCTCCGCTGCTCTGAGCCGCGGAGTCACCCAGAGCTCGCCAAGTTTCTGCCCCGAGTTAAACATTAGTGAGCATCCAGCCCGCTCCGTATAAAGGCGCCGCGAACAGGCAGCGCGCGGGCAGCGCGGGACAAGACGCGTCCGGCGCGGGGCACTGCCATCCCTGCTGGGGGCGCCCGCGAGTCGCCTCCCCGTGGGCGGTGAGGGGCGATGGGCTGCAGCCAGAACGCGCAGGGTGCGGGAGGCCCGGGGACCAACCAGTGAGTGGTGAGGCTGAGCGCTGGGTATAGGGTCTTGGGCGCCTGTGGTCCCCTTTAGCTGAAAGGGACATTGGTATTTAGCTAATGCAGCCTCCAGTGGAGAGGTCAGGGAAGGGAAGCCCAGAAAGGGCATGGGACTCAGTCAACTGTCACAGCTCACTGCTGGTAACTGCAACTAATACCCAGGTGTCTGTCTCTTGCCAGTGAAAATATGATGGGGGAGAAGGAGTTGGGTATCCAAGACTATCTGGAAAGCAAAGAGACAGGCACTTAGAGGTTCAGTTGGGTATCCAAGACTATCTGGAAAGCAAAGAGACAGGCACTTAGAGGTTCAGTAAGTGTGTTTACCCTCCCCAGAGAATTCCCACCTTCTCATTGAAATGCCAAAAATAATAACACTGACACTTATAGGGAACTTTTCCTAAGAACTGCTGTAAGCCTTTACTGTGTTTATTTTACAGAGAGGAAGTCTGTGCCCAGAGAGGTTAAGTAACTTAGCCAAGTCCATCAGCTAGGAAGTTGTAGCACCTGAATTAAGAATTCATCACCCAGATAAAACACATCTGTCATGTGGGCCTCTGACCTTGGACTTTCTTGTCTCCAGAATCATAAGAAATGTTTCTTTTCTTTATAAATAAATAAATCACCCAATCTGTGCTGTTGTAAAAGCCCCAGAAAAACAGAGTAAGATAACCACAAATTCTTTCATTTCTCTCTTAGAAGTCTCTCTCTTTCAACACCTGAAAGTTGAGTTAAGAGTTACTGGAGCCTGTGAGCTGGAGGTGTGAAGAGAGGCCATCCAAAATGCATACAGGAAATAGTGCCAGACTGAGGACTCATTGCTGTCCTTTGCTCTCAGCAGTCTGGGCAATCAACATTGGTGATGGAAGTCTACCTTCTTGAGCCTGGTCTGAACCTCCATGGCTGCACCCTGTCACTGAACATTCACCAAGCTCCATGGAAGCTGGAGGCATCCACAGGACAGATCATTGTGTTCTCTGAAGCCTTCCATGAGACACAAATATCTCCTCACTTTATGACCATTGAAGAGACTTCCACATGGCTCCACTTTTACATGTCAACAGTCTTTCAATGGTTGTTTTTTCTAAGTCCTTCAGTAACCAGCTGGCCAACACATTAACCACCACTTACGAGTCAGACTAGATATTTTATCACATCATCTCTTTTTTCCATAGAAAATGGAAAAGCAGGCGTATTATTCAAAGTTCCGTCCATCGGTAAGGTCACAAGAATTCCTTTCCACTGTTTTTTAAGTTATCCCTGAGAGGGACTTTGATGCAGCAGTCATCCTCCAATGACAAGTGCCAGCTTTCTTTGCAAAAGGCTAATTCTTCCTTACCTAGTTTTAGGGTTCTCCTCCATGGGGTTAAGGTGTGTGCAAAGGAGACATTAACACCATGAGAGAAACTAAGATCTCTGTGCCTGTGATTGTCTTGTGCCTTGTGAACCTGGTGGGCTCAACTCATGTACATGCAGGTACCATTTTCACTTTATTCCAGAATATGCCTGCAGATTTCCAACTTTACCATTTGGTGGATCAGGTATAATTATGGGTAGCTAGACTGTGTAGTTACTTGGTGTTGTATGTTGTGTTGTGACGTCCAAAAAAAGACATTTTGGAATCCTAACTCCTGGGACTTCAGAATGGAAACATCGTATAAGTCATAATGAGCTTATTTAAATGGGTCCTAATCCAGTGTGACTGGTATCCTTATAAAAAGAGGAAAATTAGACCCTAGAGCTACAAACAGAGGGAAGATGTTGTGAAGAGTCATGGAGGGAAGATGATATTCAAGCCCCAGAGAGGCCAGCAGCAGATATTTCTCTCACAGCACTCAGGAAGGAACCAACCCTGTTGACCACTTGATTTCACACTTAGAGCACACTTAGAACTGTCAGACAGTAAATTTCAATTTTGCCTCCTAGTTTGTGGTAGCAAGTGAACGACTTGGTGTTCCATGTGATCATGCCTTCAGACTCTCCCAGATCCTAGAAGACAGCAGTAATTGGCTATTGTAGTCAGCCTTCAAGAAGACTTCCAAAATTTTTCCATGAGTTAATTTAATACACAACTAATAAATAGTCAAAGAGCATAAAAAGTCAAAGGGCATGGCTTTGCTCTGAAACCCTTGGCATCTTTTCTGTGACTCTCTTATTGGGTCTTGCCAGACGATCCATGCAGCTAACTCTGGCTACCCCTGCACTTCTAATAACTTTTGTTTCATAAGATTCAAGTAGTAGGGCAATTTGCCTTATAGCCTGCACTTGCGGAGTCTGCTCTCATGCCAGGTTCCTTTCAAAACAGACAGCCTTACAGATTATTGAGCAAATAGTTGTAGACTCACACCTAATAGTAATATTAGTGTCTCCAAACTGGAAAGCATTGATTTTCTTCTTGGTGGATGTGCGAGGTGTAATGACTTACCTTTTGTGTTAGAAGGGATACCTGATATATTGCAGACCACTGAATTCCTTGCAACTTCGCAAACTTTTCATGGGTTTTATCTTAAACCCTATGTCTACCTTTGTTTCCCATAAACGTAAAGAACGTGCTTCCTACTGCTTAGGTCCATTTAGTGCAATGTCACCAGTGTAATGGACCAATGTGATGTTCTGTGGGATATCATGATGATCAAGTTCCCAGGAGACTATATTACGACAGACAGCATGAATATTGACATAACCCTGAAACAAGACGGTGGCGACACTACTGTCCCTTCCAGATTAGGGCAAATTACTGTAGATACTGTCTGTTAATTAGAATCAAGGAAAATGTGTGCAAGTTAATAGCCCCAGATGCTATGACCATTGTTTGATCCAGTAAAGTTACCACACCTGAAACAGAAGCTGAAATTAACCATAGACATTTTCCATTTTAGGAAAGTGAAGGGACAGTACCAAGGACTTCTGCTAGGCCTTTCCTCCCCTAATATCTCTCATGGTTTAAGGAATGAGTGAGCCAAGATTTGCAAGCAGCCTCTAGGATCTGGACAAAGTGAGGGAACTGATTTTCCCTAGGGTCTGCAGAAGGACCAGAGCCCCACTGACAACTTGATCTGAGCCCAATAGAATCTAGTTCAAATTTCTAATCTTCAGGACTATAAAATATTAAATTTGTGTTATTTAAAGCCACTTGGTTTGTAGTAATTTGCTGCAGCAGCAATAAGGAGCTAACATATCACTGGACACAGTCATATTTTAACTCCATAGAAATTCATATAAACCCAGGACCAGTATTTAATGACTCCAAATGGTCTCAGTATATTCCTTTGAACACGGCATTTTCAAATTTAACCGCACATCATGTGTATTTCTGGAGAAGCCTTAGAAGAAAATTTAAGGTATGGACTGTGAGATCATTTCAGGGTCTTTTCTAAAAATATCTGAAGGTATTCCAGGTGTGTTTATTGGTTTGAGTCTGGCACTTTGAGGATAAGCTGCAATGATTGCATTATCTTTCAAATTAATGTTGAAATTAAATTGCCATTATGATGGAATTAAAAGATGGGACCTTTAGGAAGAGATTAAGTAATGGGGGCACTGTCCTCATGAATGGGCTAAGGCCATTGTTGGCTTGGTTATTGTGGGAGTGGATTAATTATAAAGGAAGGGGAAGTTAAGTCCCCTTCTTTGCTCCTTGCATGCTCCCTTGCCATGATATGAAGCAGCAAGGAGGCTCTCCCTACATGGGTCCCCTTGGTCTTAAATGTCCCTAATCTCTAGAACTATAAACCAAATAAACTTCTATTGTTTATAACTTACCCAGTCTGTGGTATTCTGTTATAGCAGCAGAAAATCGACTGAGGTACTGGTCACAAACTGGTATTATGAAAACTTAAGTCAGGTGGGGTTTTTCTGATTCTTTGAATCAAGACTCAACTTTAAATACTTCCCATCTACTACATTCTCATTGGTACAGTTTGGATATCCCCGAAAGGTCCAGGTGTTGAAGACCTGGTCTATAGGGTGGCATTATTGGGAAGCAGTGGACCTTTTAGGAGATGCAGCCTAGTAGCATATCCCTAGGTCGTTGAAGGCATTTCCTCAAAGGGGATTGTGGGCTCTGATCCCTTCCTTTGTCTCCTTTGCTTGCTAGCAATCAGGTTAGTGGTTTTGCTCTATCATTGTTCCCTGATATGCACCTCCACATCACCGGCCCAAAACAATTGGACCAATTGATCATGGACTGAAACCTCTGAAACTGTGAGCCAAAATAAACTTTTTCTCTACAAGTTGATGATTTCAGGTATTTTGTTATATTGACAGGAGTCTGAGTAACATTCTCATTATAAATGAGCCACCATAATTGCAGGCCAAACACTCAGATTACCACATTGTCCTTGCAACTGATAACAGTTGGTAACAACCTCTTTGGAGAACCCAAGTTTTAGAGCTGTGGTTACCTAGAGAAAGCTATAGTCCTGGATGGATGAGGTCATTGGCAGATTGCAGCACAACAAAGCAAGATAAAAAGTAGAAGGAATAAATACTGCAATCTCTTTCTCCTCTCTCCTTTCACTATCTTGCTGGTGCCTCCCTTTGGCTGAGCCCAACAGAAGACAGAAGGCAAAGGAGTCTGGATAACAGAGAATACAACTTGCATAGGTCACCTAAGGTTGTCCTATCATAGAGACAAGAAGGGTGGAGAATGGATGAGTGCCCAAATGGGAAAAATCAAAACAGTCTAACTTTTAGTACTTCTTATTTGCTAACCTGTTTCCTT